ATATATATATATATATAACTACTTATTGAATTTTAAGCACTTATAACATTAATTCTTATTATATAATATTTTATTAAATAAAATTTTAAAAAAGATGTTCGTCCAAACAAACTCTTTGACATTTTTCTGTAATAGAAGGTCTTTTAGATTTTTTTTTAATTTCTTATCTATTTCATTTTTTATTTATTATTTTTATAAATTAATTTAAAATATTTTTAAGACAAAATATTAATAATTATAATTTATATCTATTTACATAAATATAATATATGTATTCTAATATAGTGTGTGTATATATATACATAGTTTATTATAAATTATTTAAATATAATAAATATTTAGTATATTCAATATGCATGCTAAAATACTAATTACACAATAAGTAAGTTTAAATATATGATTTTAATGACTTGAGTAAATTACCCTTCGTTCAAAATCAACGCTTAAGCAAGGTCAGGGTTCGAATCCTGCCTTGTGTATGCAGCCGCGTTAAATCTTGGGGCCAGCTATCCCACCCTTTGAGGTGCCTCCAACGTAGCGAGGAGATTAGTCACTGCTGTCGACAGTGAACACTCCAGGGACGAACAAAAAAAAAATAAAATTACCCTTCGTTCCTCTTGAAAAATACAAATATTATATTATTTTATTTTATTCTCTTATAATAAAAACTACAGTGATTTCCTTTTATATATTCTAATATATTCCGTTAAAGTTTCATTTGCTTTCGTTAAAAAAAAAATTAACAAAATATATTTTTTACTAACATCCCATCACATATGTTAATATTGCATTATTATTTTTTTTTTGTTAAATAAACACTTTCCTCTTTTAACTAATACAAGTGTTACATTTTAACAATTTATCTCTTGGTACAAAAACAAAAATAATTTAGAGTAAATTAAACTCATACCCCTTATATTTTTTATGATTACGTCTGATATCTTTCATAATTTAGATATATAAAAAGAATTTTTAAAAATTGAATAAATATTACGCTGACCTTCCCTAATTTCAAAGATGCATGTCATGTGATTTATACATCACTTTTAATAAATTTTTTCTTCCTAAAATCTTCCCATCTTCTCCGATAAAGATTTTTTTAAAAAAAAATACTTACATATTAAGTAAGTTAAATATATATATTTTTTTGCTGTCAAAGGAAAATTACACAACAGAGATGCAGAAGTACAAATAACCCCTAAAATCTTACCAAATCAAACCCCTAGACGCCAAGGGTGGATCATTAAAAATAGTAAAACCTATGACTCCGTGATGAGCTAGATCCGCCAAACATTTAGCTACTAAGTTTGTTTCATGGACCACATGAAAAATATTAATATTCCAAGATCTATGCAAAATCAATTGACCATAACAGATTAAACCAGAATAGGTGTCTACAACCGATACTATTAAACCAATTGTGTAATGATATTTTCATTAGTTTACAATGATATTATTTTTACAACACATACTATTAAACCCTTTTGCTTGAACAAACTAAAGGCTCAATATTTTGTCTCGAGACAATGACTATAGTAACTTCCCTTATAGTATTTTTAATGATGATCATATCTGTAGGAGTATTCTTTTGATTAATTTCTCTTGAAATCTTGACTGTGTTAAGATTATTACTCTTAATGTTATTTTTTTTAATTAAATTCAAGATTCGAACTTGAGATTTCGAATACCAACCAAAATACCAATTGAAACAATGAACATTTGTAGCTTCACCATACTGTTTAATGTTACCAATAAACTATTATTTTTGTTTATAAAATTGTGAGAGGTTGTTACAGTAGTTTTTGAAATTAAAAAAATATTAAATAAATCACTAAAGTTAAATCAATATCATTTTAGTCCATGATAGTACCAGCTATCTTTCTAGTCCATAATGAAATTAACAGAACGATGTAATGTGATTAATAAATTTCAATTTTAGAAATTTATTTGTATATATATATATATATATTATTTTTTAATTTAAAGAACTATTATCGTCTCACAATTTCACAAATTAAAATGATAGTCAATCTTAATGTCACATAGAGACTTGGTCTCTCTGAGAGCAGATGTAATATTGTCTCTAGTCATTCATCAAACAGAGCCTTCTTGTTCATGTTGTTCTTTGAACAAAGCAAGAAAATGTATATAAATTAGCCTATGTTTCTTTGATTGCATTTACAAGTATCAGAATCAATGTACATAAAAGCAGCAGTAAATCATGTAGTTCAATGAGATATAGGATGCGTTTGAAAACCAGTTCAACTCAACTGAACGTCAATCTATTATCATCAGAGTTTCTTCTATGTTTGTGTATTGGAATTTGTAAAATCTCTGTTCACACAATTACTGCACTAGTACCTTTTCAGCAAACTTCTTACACGAACCAAGCACCATGTTTTTAAAAGTGTTTTGTGCTTTCTCCAACCATTGAAGTACTTCCCAATCACCTTTTTATAACTAGGCCTTTGCTGAACCAGAATCCAGTACTCAGCAATGTTTGGCCTTCCAGCTATGTACTCATTCTCTAAATCCAAGAGTTTCAAACGAGCTAATACTGGAATGAGCATCACATCAGCCATGGTAAAATCTTGACCTGCCAAATAAGGTGTTTCACTAAGCTGCATCTCAACCTCATCAAGCAGTTTAACCAAATGCTCCTTGCCCCTTCTCAGAACATCTTCTTTCAATTTCTCTTCAGTCTCATAGGCCTCTTTCAACTTCCTGTGGTAATCTCCTGCCAATTCAGGTGATTCTGACATGCGAGCGATCACCACTTGCCTTATGAACTTGGAAACATAAAGGCGATATTTCTCTGGTATGTGTGAAAGTGTGAAAAACTTGGGGTCCCAATCTTGTATCTTCTGCATCCATTCAATCACTTCCTTGCAACTGGCACTGATACTCTCAGTCTCAGCCCCGGTGGAAACCACAGCAATTCTTTCTGTGTACCTGAACATTCAATCCAACTATAACACTTCCGTTTGAACTTTGGAACATAACAAGTACATTCAAATTTGTACACACTCTTCAGTAAACTATACAAACCATTCCATATCTACAATGCATACACAATTTGCTGCTTTTAAGGAAATTGGTTTGGGAGTAATGATGTATTTGAATATAACAGCAATCAAATTTTCAACTTCTTTTAGTAATTTCAATTTCAAGTTCCAATAAACTTCAAAAATAGGATCCTATTATGCAGATCTATTCATGTAAGAAGAAATAGAATGAAACAAAAAGGGTGTGAAGAATAGGACATACTGGATTATATCAATAGTATTGTAAATGATGTGAGAGCCATTTTGGAAAACCGGGATCCTTCCGCGGCGATTCACCTTGAAGAAAGAGGAATCCAAGTTCTTGCCAGTTATGGGATTGACATGGTAAGATGTATAATCTACACCTTCCTCCTCCAATGCAAGTCTCACCTTCTGGCTGTCCAAATCCAATGGATGATGATATAACTGCATTTTCTTATCAGCTTTTGGTGTGTTTCTTGCAGTTGCAAGCAGTGTGCTAATAGTTAACCATTGTGGATTGCATCAACACCAACAATCATACAGAGCTGCAAAACAACCAAAATTATTACTAAACTACTCACCGTTGTCCTTTGATCACTCAAATTATTACCAACATGTTATAGAAGCCTCATCTCATGAACAATAATTGATGCATCACACAGAAAATTAAAGCCACATATGAATTGACATTGACCTGTGTCCTGACTAATACTAACATAAATTTTCATTATCTGAGTAATGGGGGTTTGAGGATCGAGGGAGAATCTGTTTTCCAGGATTAAGATTCCAATTTCCAAAGCTCAAATTCACAAAGAAAACAATCAACTTAGTTGTAAATAACCAATGATGAATAAAACTCCTAAAGTCTAAACCAACCATTCAAACCAACATCCGGAATATTGTGTTAACAATAGATATATAACTTGGAATTATAACCAATCTCAATACAAAATTAAAGAGACAACATATGCATAAGCATACACGAAATTAACAAGGTAATGTGTTGTTTCTTGGTGTGTTGACAAATATTGAATTTGAGGAGAGAGTGACATACCCAGAAGCAGAGAAGTGGAACAAAGAAAGGAACAAGTTAGCGTTGAGTTGGGGTTTTGGAGAATTTTGCAGAGACAAGAATAAAAAGGTGGAAAGGCTTAAACTAAACTACAAAGTGAAGAGTAAAAAATATGCAAAGTCGAAGCTTCCATAACTTTGTGCTTCTTTTTCTATTATTATATTATTGAAAACCAAGGTCCACGCGTAAGTGTTGTTCGGTTTTGGACACGTAGTTCACACAGTATCTCGTATCATAATCCGCGTTTGCTATCAGATAAACTTTTTCATCTATCATTATTTTCGGAATCATAAATCTCAAAAATATTATTAACAACTATAGAAATTTGTTTGATTTGTTATAAATATTTTTTACGAAAATAATTAAATAAATAAATAAAAATAATATAAACATTTTTATTGTATTAAGATTTTATTTTTATCTAGAGAAAGTTAGTTTTCCATTTCTTCCATCAGAATAGTTTTGCGAAAAATTTATGGAAAAATTATTCTTAAAAGTTAATATTTTTTTAAAATGTTTTTTTTAAATAATAAACTAAATCTAAAAAATTAATAATTTGAAAAGATAAAAATCTTTCGTGTATTAAATACTCCTAAAAGTAACATCAAGAATCTTGCCAGAAAAAAAGGGTCAACAAATCGGAAAAAGAAATCTGTTACGCTAATTTGTTATTATCTAATATATAAGAACGTTACTTTTGGATAAAAAATAAAGAATAAAATATCTCTTATTATTGTATATATTAAGTTAATATTTAAATTAAATATATATATAT